AACAGTAAAAGTAAGAAAATAAACTCCTTGGCTGTCATCTGTCTGGTGCCTTTTTGTAAACTCCTCTGATGCAGTAACATCTTTTCTATTGTGATTCCAAGTTTGCTATTCAACACATTCCAGGAAAAGCTCAGATTGTACTGCTCATAAAATTGAAACAAGGATAAATTGTGAGGTCAGTTTGAATTATGAGGTGGGGTTTTGTTTTGGTTTTAAGATTTACGTATGCATTTGAGAAATTACTATAGGAAATTGCCATTGAAAACTTCACAGCAGGGAAAAAAGGAAAGAAAAATATAATTTGCCTAATTTTTCATAAGATTCAATCAGAAGTACAATACAAATGCAGTTTTTCATATTTTACCTTATAACTTTTTCAACTTTATTTTCTTTATTCACGGCACTCTTTTATTTAGTAAGTGACATGCACACAAGTTATTGTCCAATATTCAACTTGTAATTACTACAATGAAAAGCACCAGGGAAGCAACATGGAAAAAAATAATAAAAGTCATTACCACCAGTATGACTAAAATAGCAAACACTGATGGATATTGAACCTGAAAATATCAGTGCAGCTTCCTAGAGCACCCTTCCACATGACTTGAGTTGTCACACCTGATGCTGGAGTCAGAGAAGAACGGAAGATTTTCTCCAGGAAGAAAAGGTGAAAGGAGAGGCCCTACAGGATCCCCTGTCAGGACTCCCCAGGTTCATTCCACTAAAGCACCACTTTCCCACCCCTCCCAAGCTGGGCTATCAACACAGAAATGGAGCTGTACGAGCAAAATTATTTCCTTCTCGTAGGCATTATCTACAAAGAGCTGCCACAACCACAGTGTTGTGTGGTGCATTTCTTTAAAACATGCCCGGATTACCACAGCATGACCTTGAATTCTCCCATGTTCTGCTGAAGTTTGGGATTGCTTTGTTCCTCCCCATTCATTCTTGTCTTGCTGGTCAGTTCAGAATTGCAGCTACTAAGATAAAAGCACGCCTTGACAATATTTTTTTTTTTAGTCTGACACTATTTTAATAACATGACTTCAGTCCTGGAAATTCTCTTCTTCCCTCTTTTTTTCCTTTTCTAGCACACAAACGTAAAACAAACATCTCAAATGTGTGCTATTATAATATCAGAACAGAAATCTCAGGATAAACATTTTATGTTATGTCCCATTCTACCAGTGATATCCATTAGATACAATAAAGGTACTAGTGGGAAAAGTGCCAAGGGAACAACCTTCTACCAAAACCAGTCACCAATACCATTTCTAAATTTTCTCTTTCACAACAGCAGAACTTCCAGGATCTAGATTCACAGCAAACTGAAAACCCTTCTGGGTTCACTTTGAGCCAATGACTTCATTTCAGCACTCAAACCAAGATTTGCCCTGAGTTTACATCCTATTTCTCCATTCTCCTTTCCTCTATCTAAGATTATCTTTTCTCTTCTCTGTTACTGGTCCATCCAGCTTTTCACTCCCATCTGCCTTATGTCACTTGAATTTCACTGCTTTCCTAACAGCTTGTAACTGGTCATTCAAGAACAGTGAAACCAGGAAAAGAGAAAATTTCAGATCTATTGCAAAAAGATTCTGTACATAAATGCTCCTTAATTATGATAATTCTGTTTTCACGGATTTTTAGACTAAATGATACCTAATTTTACAAAGTTTGATATTTTTCAGAAGAACAAAATTTTCAGTTCAACTTTAAAGAAAAAAGAACAGAAGAAACCAACCCTGAAAGAGTAGTTGCTTCAAGGTCACTACCTAAACATGACCAGCCCCCAAGCTTTACTCTAGAAATAGAAATACTGTAAGCTTAGAAAAGAACATGGCACCTGATGAAAAAAAAAATCCTTTTCAAGAGTTTGTCATGTTTCGAAATAAATAGTTACAAGATTTAATCAAAGAAAAAATAAGCATTCAGGAACAGTGTTGTATCCCCTGTAGCTCACACCTTGTGTGATTCTCTCTCCAAAGCTGGCACATGACATCAGAGTTGATCTGTATTTCTAACTGGCCTTTTACATTTGTATTCATAAAAAAAAAATTACTTAAATCTCATAACCCAGTACACCACATTGAGTAACAATCTGATGACAGATTTGTTGCAAATTCAGAATTGAATTGCCTAAAGAAGAGATGGCCACATCTAGACAGCAGCAAAAACTACAAGATACTGTAAGAATTTTGAGCCTGATCAGACTTCTGAAAATAGAAGTGTTTTTAAAATATCAGTAAGGTGTTTTATTAGGAAGAATTTCAGTATACCAAGTAAAACATGGAACTTAATGAGTTTCCATTATTTCAATTTATCTGTAAGCATTCTAAGCCTGCTTATATTTCAAGGTTCACAGCGTTCTGGTTTATGATAAAATTAAATCATACTAAATCTACAAGTGCAGAAAATGGTCACAAGCTTTGTGAATGGATTTGAATGGGAGCAATTTTTAGAAATTAAGCTTCCTCTGTGCTAGTTGGTGATGACAAAATGACAAAATACATTTATTGATACAAAAAAATATTGAGAGAGGTATGGTTTGCTTCTTTGTTTTTTTTTTTAAGTTTAAATTGTGATAGTATCTCAATATTTAAAAAAATAATAATCTTTTAAAGCTGAACTATTCTTTCATGATACTTGAGCTGTATTGGGGAAAAAGCTTAAATAGTACTTTCAATAAATTCAGACGTGTAAGCATCATTAATTCCCTCTAATATTGCTGGGCACAAATGGGAAAAGTCTCATACCAAGTAATGCCTTGCTTTATACTGGTATCCTGCAAATATGAAACCATATCAGAGTACAAATTTCTCTTGAAATATAGATTCTTGTTACTTCCTCTTAAGATGAACACCTAGCAGGTTATTGATCTGCTTCTGAAGGACACAGTGTTTATTATTTAGGAAACACCACTGCTGGGCACAAGTGTGAGAAATTAATGATGGTTTTGTAAGTGTCCACACTGTGGTGCTGAGCCAGTGGGGCAACTGTCAATCTATATGATAATGTATCCCAAAACTTCATAAAATCAGTGATGTGAAGAAGCATTGATTTTTGAGCTAACCAGGATTTGTGAGAGAGTAAGGCTAAAAAGTTTACTGAAGTTAACACCTCTGTGTACACAACAGTTGCTTCATACTTGCGTGATGGTTTTTTTAAACACACAGAAACCCTTCTCACAGAAACCCAAAATGAATTCCACATACTGGTTTAGTACTTGCTTGCTGTTTGACCATGTTTTTCCTTCTCCTATTAATACCATTGTTAGAAACATGAAAAATGGATTCACTGCACTGTATTTCCAATTACATAATAATTCACTTATTATAGGGAGGAAAATGAAAAACAAGTGAACAGACTCATTCTTTTATCAGTCTGTGCCAGTGTGTATAAAAGTGGGTTCTGAGATTATGTTTTCTTAGACAAGAGGTGTGACACACTGCTTCTGCTGAAATGGAGACAACCACCTGCACAGAAGTGAATTCCTGCTAGAGCACTGATGCCCAATCATTCCACAATGCCAGAATTCTATTAGTCAGGTTTTTTTATTTGAAATTACACTCAGAAGCCTTAACAAAACTGTATTAAAATCAATGGAAGTTGTCATATTTTCTGTGAATGGTATTATTAAAAGGAAAAATCAATTAACCAGCCACTGATTATTTTTAAAACATGGGCTTCCTTGTACAAACCATTATTAGTAAACACACATTCCCTCCTTAGTTTTGATGAAGAAATGTATCCTGCTATGCCTATGGAGAGGATATATTACTTGAAGATTCAATTTAAATCAAGAAAAAAAGACTGCTGTTACAAATAAAATCAATTGCACTTTACTGAGCTTCTTTCTATCAATGTATAAACTGTAATTTTGCCCTGTTTGCTTTGACAAGCAGTTGCTTGTGTTTCCAGAGCCGGGCACACCCGCTTTACTGAAACCAAGACAACTGTCAGTGAGTAGAGGGAGGAGTCCAAAATAAACACCTACAAAAATCCTCTTCTGAGACACCCAGCATGTATCAAACAGAATTTTATCCCAACATGCTCAGCAGAGAGAGCTGGTGTCATGAGCTGGAGCAGCTGCTCTGAAGGCTGATGATGTTAGGGAGGTTCCTCTTCACCTCCACAGAATGACAAGATCCAAACCCCTTTGTTTCTATTTTAACTAGCCTGAGTTTGCACTTTCATCACTCTATAGGATGGAGGACAAATTCCTGCAAATCTTTTTTTTACTATTTTCCATCTTGAGTTCTGTTTAAAACTATGTAAGCACAGAAAATTCCCCAGGTGAAAACTTCAGGGTGATCCATACGAAGAACCTGATTGTGGGTATGTGCACCCGAGAGGACAGTGCAGAGCACAGGACACAGACTCTACCACTGCCAAGCTGTTTGGTCACAAGTGACTGGTGCTGTGCCCAAAGTCTCACTTCTGTGACCTTGAGCTACACTAAACCCAAGTGTTCTGCCTCAGCCTGATGCATAAATTTGCTTTCTAAAAGCCTCCCAATACCAGTAATAAAAGAACAAAAGAATTGTTTTTACAACTTCAAAACCATGGAAAAAAAATACATGAAATTAAATCTGATTGTTGTAAATTAGCATCATTGTTACAGCTACCAGCGCATTGTGGATTATTAATATTACTTCAAGCTGTGTAGAAAAATCACATATAAAACCTATTTCTCTTTGGAAATTTCTTTCTGCTTCTCATCATTAAGTTTAATTTAAGATACTCGGAGCACAAACTTCTGTGACAGATTATGGCATGAAAAGTAAATTGTAGGATCAAACATAATATCTATCATATAGTGCACATGTAATAGTTTCCTGCTAGTGATGCTAAAAAACCCCAAAACATATTAAAGAACAGCTTCAGTCAAACGGAGAAAGTGCAAAGTTCCCCTTTAAAAGCAGACTGGTGTATTTTTAAGCACGCTCACGCTCTCACACGTAGGTCAGGAATGTACTGAAGGAAAAGACCCAACTTACCATTTTCCTCGTCTGACTTGTTCTCGTTGTCGGAGTCGGTGAGCGTGAGAGCCGAGTTCTCACGGCTCGAGAGGCCGGAGCTCCTCCTGGATTTGATGCCTCTGCCCCAGAGCCTGATGGCGTGCTCCGGGGACATCCCTCCCTCCGTGTCCGAGTCGGCGTCGGAGCCCGTGCTCAGGGAATAGCCCTGGTGCAGAATCCCCATGTCCGAGCAGTAGCCGCTCCGGTGCGGAGAGGGCTCGCAGATCCCTAGCTCTGCAAGGGTGAAGTTTGTTCCTATAAGGACGAGGAAAAAAAAATTAAGTAATTAAAAAAGCTAGGGGATTTATTTTCAACTTGGAAATATCAGACCTTTCTTTCTTTTGCTCAGTTCTGCTGTATGCCAATGAATTACTTAGAAATCTCTGGTGCATTTGCCTAGCAAGACTTAACCTTGAAAATACTGAATGTATCTAAAATGGATGGAATACACAAAACAAAGATAGGAAAGGTCTCTAAAATTTTAGGCTACTCTTTTGGTCCCAAATAATTAATGACTTAGGTGTGTGAGTAACATAAACCTAATGAAAAGTTTTGACACGACCTGCTTTAGTGTGTATGTAACCTCCTATTTGTAGGACAGGGAATGAGCTTTAAAGTTATGCATTTGATTACTCAAAAAGAGAATTTTTTTTTTTAATGAAGCTCATTTTCACATACACAAGTCTTTCACAGAGATAGTGAAAGAATGCAAATCTATCAGTGAGGTAGCATGGAACTTTATCACCAATTTTATATTTACATTTGGTGCAACTGATGATTTAATATCTACCAAAGAAACCAAGACAGACCTTACATTGTAACTGTTTTCTCCCCATATTCCAAAAGAAAGAATGCATTGATACTAAAATCAGGAGGTCATTTCATTTAAAGGCAAAACTTTCTGAGACAATGTCAAAACACGTGACCTTTAGCAGTAAATAAAGACTCAGTGGACAAAATCTTATACATTTTTAAAGCACACAGAGTCCCCCAGGGTCCTCAGAAAGTCCAGAGTTGCTGCCTGATTTCTGCTTATGTACTGTACTACAGTAATGAACAGGGTGTAAAAAAATAATGGGAAATATTCACTGATCTCTAAGGCTTTCAAAGATTTTGAAAAGCAAATTTGAGCTTCGTTATATTGGGCTAAAAAAACAAAAATCAGACTGAAGTTGCTGGCAATATAACTGTCAATTATTTAACTAATTTCTTAATTCACAGGGAAACCAGATCTGTGGTCTGTGCTTCTAAAACAGTAGTTTTATTTTGTCTAAAATCCTTTCTTTTCTCCTCTTCCTTTATACATTTGTCAGAATGAAGCTAAATAATGTAAGTTCATACACTAAATAAAGCATACAAATAAATGTCTTCTATTAATAAAGAAGGAAACTAGATTTTTAAAATTTTTTAAATTTTTTTAAGTATTAGAACTTCTTTCTCAGATTGGCCAGGAAAGCTCACAGAGTTTTAAATCTATTTGGGTTCCCTTCCTGTACCAGCTCTCTCCAGTCTCATGTCTAACTGCCAAAGCACATTTTGGATAAGGGGTGTATGCACACATGGAAAATGTAAAACTGGGGCCCAGTTTAAATTTATTCCTGAAGTTCATCACTTAAAGGAAGGGGATGGATTTCTTCTGGAAGCCTGATCTATGTCCTCAGGCAGCAATGACCAGGCTTGTGTGTGGCTCTGTCACCCTGAGGTCAAACAGTGACAGTCACAGCCTGCAGTGAGACTGTGGCCAGTGCCAGGTGAAGAATTCTCACCAGATGATGCTTCTCGAGGAATGCAGCATTTAGTGGCAATGTGTAAAATGAATATAAAAAGGTTGACATTAAAAAAGCTGGCTCACTTTCATCAGCAACAAATTAACCCAAACCCTTCTAGTTAGGAGGATATTTTACCTTCCTTCTAATATTTAATGTAGTAATCAGAAATTTAGTGGTTTAGTCAAAAGGAGGTAACTCAGTCCTAAAAATGAGTTTCTCAAGTGCCCTTCAATCTTGAGATTTTTTGCTTGGTTTTTAAAATTATTTTTGTAATAAGTGAAGAGTTCTAGCATGACAGATAAAGCTACTTTCAAGGAAAATGTAAACTTTAATCATGTGCAATTTCAGTAGAAGACATTTAACAAAAACAGTTTGATTGATTAGAGTTTTGCTTCAGCCATATTAGTAAACTAAGATTAGACTTATTAATAAAAAGGTCAAAATCAAACCAAAATTAATATATAAAATGGACTGAACGGAATCATAGCAGCCCATAGTAGCCCACCCCAGACTGGAGATTACATGTTGACATTAGATAGACGTTAAAATTACTAAACTCATCATGAAAATGAAGTTTTTCCAATTTTCTTGCTTGCTGGTGGCATGTCTACAAATACACACAAATTATGAATATATTAGCTTAATTAAGCTGTTGTACATAAACAGTAAAACATTTTGATGATATTCTGTGGATTTTAACAGCCCTTACAAGCCCAGATGATTTCATTCTGATTAGCATCCTGCTCTTTCTTTGTCTGAGGAAAATGGTATAGGCACTGAAATACACTGTTCACAAAACTCATTCACCCATTTGAGTTTTATTATCTGGGAACTTGGCATTTTCCAGTAACTGACCGAATTTAAAAAAATTGAGAAATGGATCATATCAAGAGCACAAATGGAATCAGCCCCTGAACCTCAGGGAAAGGATTTTCTATGCTGCTCCTTAGAAATCCCTTTATAGTCTTATGACCTGATGGAAGACATGAAATATTCCAGAAATTTCCCTGTCTTGTAGACATGTTCTTAGCTGGTAGATTTTGAATTAGTTTTATATACTAACTTGTGGCATTTGCTTCTGCAAAATATTATTTATGACTTTTGTGTAAGGCAGCATATAATGTCAGAATAATTTGTGCTTGGATAATTGTTTTTTTTTTTTTCACATCTGCACACACACATATATAAGAGGTTTTCAGATATGTTTTTTACATCCAAAAATATAGAAACATATCTGTATAATTCCTGATACCTTCATAGCCCTTAATTTACTGAAAAATCTGAGGAAAGGAAGATGGAAACACTACAGTTATATTCTCTAGTCCTTTTCTTATTCTGGACCATGTTCTCCTACATGCCTTGTTTTCCTAAAATGAAACTACTCACATGCCCTGAATGACATATGAACTGCTTCCACTGACATATTCTTCTCTCATTTACTCAGCCATTACTGCACATCAAAGTACTAATGCCATCAGTAGACCACTCTTGTATATTCACACAGAGGGTAAATAAAATCTGGATGCCCAGAAATAATTTGCCCAGTAATTCACAGAATAAGCTGAGATGGAAAGGGATCGAGTCCAACTCCTGACCCTGCACAGGACAGCCCAGCCATCACACCCTGTGCCTGGGAGCATTGTCCAGACACCTCTTAAACTCTGTCAGGCTGGTGCTGTGACCTCTTCCCTGGGGACCCTGTTCTTGTGCCCAACCATCCTCTGGGTGAAGAATCTTAGAATTTCTAAAATCCAACCTAAACCTCCCCTGACACAATTTCAGGCCATTCCCTCAGGTCCTGTCCCTGGTCACCACAGAGAAGAGATCAATGTCTGCCCCTCCTCTTCCACTCACAAGAAATGGGACCTTCTGTACCCTGCTGTATATGGAATGAGGTCTCTCATTCTCCTCTCCTCCAGTTGTACAGACCAAGTGCCCTCAGCAGCTTGTCACATGGCTTCCCCTCAAAGCCCTTCCCCATCCTGGCTGCCCTCCTTTGGGCATCCTACTATTACTTTGCAGCTGAAAAAATACCTAAGTCATTTCATATCCACCAGAATACTCCATGTGGAATCCTGATGACAAAGTTCAGCAAGAACAACTCAGCCCTCCTTGCCCCAGTGCCAGCACAAAGTACAGCACTTATGAACTGGGAGAGGAAATACAGGCACAGCCTGGCCTGGGGTTAAGGCTCAGTGTTCCCTTCAAGGAGTATCACCCTCACAGCTCTAAGTGATGTTGGGAGCTCAGGCATAGCAAGACCTGGTAGAGGACAAGCGAGGGCAGCAGGGCAGCAGTCCCACTGCCTGCCATGCCCTGGCCAGTCAGAATGCTCTGCTGTGTGTCCACAGACAGAACACTGGGCCAAAAGCCAAACTGCACTGCCAGCACGAGCAGGCAGGCAAGAGTGGCTTCTTACAGTGTGAGACACCACCCCCTACACCTGGGGCTTGCAGGGAGCTGAGAGGAACTGAACTGCCCCTGCCTGAATTGTCACTTGCAAAGCAGGACTGAAATGCACAGTCACAATGCATTCTTGCACATGGAAAGCTTTTTTTTTTCAGATTTTTGTAGCATCTACTACCTTGCTGGTGACACTAAGAGAAAAGAGATAGATCACGTCAGATCCTTATTGGTGGAAAAGAAAGAAACTTCTTTCCCTTGAAGAACACAGCACCAAAAATAGAAAGTCACAAGGTTTTTGCTTTTTCACATGAAACAGAGCTTAGCCATCTCCATCCTCTGTCCCTTCATCCTCTGCAGAAACCACTAGATGATTTTCATTAAAGGAAGGCAGTTAAACCCAGCTGCTCCCTTAAGGTGTACACAATCTCTCATACAAAAAAAGACCAGCAGTATTCTAGTTTAGCAGGATAATATAATGTTATGTACTTGCTCATCATTGCCCATAATCTACATGCTGTGAATAGTCTCTCAATAGAATAGATGTTTTCCTTTAAATGAGGACATTACTTCTATTATCTCTTTAATGCACTTCCTTGTACAGAAATTTACTGTTTCAGTTATTCAGGATATAAACACTAACAGTGTGTTGAATTCAATGATGTACTACTGTACTCATTATTGCTGCTAAGCCTAGAAAGCATCACCATTTAAGCAAAGGTTATTTTCACCTAACCCCTAGGCAGAGGTCTCATTTGAGTGATCACAAACTGCATGAATTGCCCTTCTGAAGATTAATCTAATCCAGCTGTGATCGCTACAAGATGCCTCAGAGGAAGATCTCTGAAACCAGTAATGCACAGATAAGATAAATTTGCCTTCAACATGACATCAAGTTCAAGACAGGGCTAAGTCTAAAATCAAAAGGATAAATATCACTCACAGTCTTTGCTACTACAATCAATTACAGAAAGTAAGAATAACAAAAATATATCTATTTGAGACATTCCATCCTTTCTCAAGCTTTTGTTATGTTCAAAGCTATAATGATTTGCAGGCAGGAGTACCACAATTTAGGTCCAA